TAGCTTTTAATTTCCCACCACTGTTTTTCCCAGGATTCATTTTTTCTTGTTTAAGATCCATTTGAACTTACTTCATATTAAGCATCTCTGTAAATTATCTTACTTTTGGTGGGGAGAGGGCCAGGCAGGGTCTAAATAAATAGCCAGATGAGTGTATTGGAGAGAGAGCATGTCTGTGTGAACTGAATTGGGCTGCAATTCATGGGAGAGGAGAGGGAGGCAGCGGGGCAGTGCACCATCTCCGGATGGAGGCTGGAATGAGGAAGAAAGTTAAGGACATAGGTGGTGGGCTTTGCCACCCTGGTTGCAAGATAACTATCAACCAGGTGGCTGGGAGTATCTTCCAGGATCTACAGGGAATAGGGAGGCCATCAGAGCAAATCACTTACAGATCAACTGGGAGCCTTCCAACTGGTTTCTGCATTGGCCAGTTGTTTAGAGTCTGTCGACTTGCAGTTTCATATAGACTGTAATCTGATGATCAGCAGTGTGCATGCCGGGTCCCAGTATGCCTTCGTAAGGACTGGCTACATATCTGATAGTCGTTATTTCTGGGCCTTAGAATGAAAATAGAGATAATACTTGAGGTATCGTACTGGTGGCTATAGATGCGTGTTCATTTTATATTTGTATATATAGTATATATATATTTTGTTGTCTGCAGCATGAAGTTAAAATGAATGTGTTAGGGGAAAAGGAAAAGGGAATATTGATGTTTAACGTTTATTACTGTTGTTCAGCGGTGATCATAGTATGCGATACATGGATACAGTAGTTTACTTTCTTGATGGTATACACTATTCTTTTGTTCCTTCAGTTTGCTACATACAATATGTACTACATACACAGTTTTGAAACAAACCTTTATCTTATTTAAAGTTTTCATCATTCAGGTTTTTAAAATGCTGTGTTGAAACAAAGGACAATTGTACCTGAGATTACTTAAGGGCCGTGCGTTACTGTGAGCCCTGAGCAGCCTCATGTACCCAGTCACTACATGGAGGACTGTCGTCTTTATAAATACATCCATCAAACAATTAATTTTGCAGTTTTTCCAATTTGTCTTTTAGCCAGTTTATCTAAATTATTTTCAGAAGCCCATTGAAGATTTATTTGCAGTATCATTTGAGCCTGACAGGTACAGGCGGAACGCGTCCGGACAGGTAGGTCCTCCTCCCCTAAAGGAGTGTGGCAGGCCCCAGTGCCCAAGTCTAGAGGCAGCTTGTGCCTGTGCATCATTTTCTTGGATCTCTTCTCTCGACTTGTGGCCTGAGAGTCACATAGCTGAGTGCTCTGATTGTACTAACATCCCAGGTAGTCCTCTGTTACCATTTTTCCTCAATTAGATTATAAGCACCTTTTATAGTACAGATACCTTAGAATTATTTTGTTTCTGCTGCCTTCTCAATACCAACTTCTGCTTTGGAAGCAATCAAAATCTTGGTATATTTAGCAGAGGGTGCCCTCCAGACTCATGAACTTGGAAAGGGTTTCTCTCTACTCCATGTCCTCAGCCGAAAGCCAATAATATCTGCAACCTAGAGCATGTTCAGGGTGCAGGCACACCTTCCTCTGGCAGCTGAAAAGTCTGTGTTTCTATCTTGCTAGGCACAGCAACAGTATTAGTAAGAGCGAGGGTTCAGCAAATGCTGGCTAATATTATTGTTTGCCTCGGACTATTCTAAATTATTCAGATATACTTTAATTTATTAAAAGGACATTGGATTCAAATTGCATATCTGTCAGTTACTTGGACAGGTTACCTAACCCATTTATGCCTCAGTGTCCTATTTTCTAAAACATTCATCATAGGATCTTTTTGAGGATCCCATGAGGTGTTACTATAGTATTACCTCACTCAATCCTTATAAACCTTTCCTTGGAGCTTGGTATGTGGTAAAAAGTCAGTATTTAGTTGCCACCTGAGTGGTAGTAAGAACTAGTAACCCCCTTTTCAAATGAACAATAGACATGTGCTATCTGTTGCTGGAGCACTGGAGCTCCCACGCAAGTGAGGGGTAGAGCTAGGGTTGGCATGCAGGTCCCTGAGTTCTGTCCCCTCCTGCTTCTGCACATATGGGGTGTTCCTATGCTGATTATTACCTGCCATCTCCTTTGGGAAAAGTAGAAAGTAAAGTAGCTCCAACCTGACTGTAGGGAGTAATATACCCGAGACAGCCATTTCTACTGCAGCCAGTGGTAGAGTGATAAATCATAAATCTCTATAATTTTACCTGTTACTACTCACACTAAAGGTTTCTACTAGCAAATAGTTTACCCAGAGCCTTAAAAGGTAGTAACTGAGAGCATGATTGACTGCAGGCAGACATGGGTCAAGGTCAGAGCTCTGCTTCATATTTGTGTACCACTTAGGTCTTAGTTTGTTCAGCTTTAAAATGGGGCTAACAGCAGCGTCCACCTTAAGGTTGTATGAGGGTTTAAAAATAATGATATATGTTAAAATATTCAATAGTCTTGGCATGTATTAAACTATCAATGTGTGTTAATGATTGTTGCTTTAGTATTAAGGCTAGAAGAACAGTCTGTGCCATATGAATTCTAAAACATTAGAAAAGGTCATTGAAGTAGTTCACAGAAATTAGTATTAGAAATTGCCTCTTAAGAGAAATTATGGACTCGCTGATATGAGTGACTTAATGGGATGTCTTACACCAAGTGAAACGCAGTTCAGTGCTCCTCCTCAGATGCATTTTAGTGTACAGTGTTTTATGTGTGGTTAGTCAGAGTGTTAATGCAAGATCAAATACACTAATTAGGTATAAGATAGAGGAGAGACTTTCTCTAGTGCCCATATCTGCCATATAAGGAGGAAGAAAGTTTAGAAATTCTGCCAAGTCAGACAGGAGCCTGGCTGTAACCACTGGCCTGCGGCAGGTTCGAGCCTTGTTTCTTGTTCACCTTGGTGTCTTGCATGTGACTCATCCACTCAGCCTTTCACCTCATGGTCATGGTTCCCCTGCTCGCCCCTCTGCTTCAGGCGTCCACAGTGTAAGAACTGCGGTTGGCCCTGGCTTTGGTGTTACTGTAACACTTTCCATCTTGCAGTGGAAGAATCTGCAACCTAAAGAGGTTGAGATTTCATCAGTGTCATGCAGCTGGCTGGCGACGGAAATGGGAGGACCAGTTCTCCTCATCACCTCTGGCTCCTCCAGGGCCTCCTCAGTGTTCCTGTGTTCAGTTCAAGCCTTGGGTTCTTGATAACATCACCTGAGGGCCTCAACTGACCATAGATTCCAAGCCCCTTGTTTTACTCTGAGGGAGGGCAGGGAGCTCTTGGGGAAGTGAACAGCTTGCCCAAGTCACACTGATCACTTTGGGCACAGTCCGCATGCAAACCCTGGCCGTTTTGCTGTGAGTCCTGGGCTTTCTGCCCCAAACCAAACTCCCGCCCCATGCCTGTGCCCAGAGTCCGCCCTGGGGACTGGAGGGTACTCGCAGGCGATTTCTCCTAGAGTTCACCTTCTAGCCTGCCTTCAGACCAGTCTCTTGGGAGCTTGGGGGGACTTTTCATGGATTTTCTAGTTTTTCTTAGTTTAGAGGCACACGTGAAAGAACAAATGGCCATTCTTGTCTCCCCTATCTTAAATTTCTGGGGCATTTTCTCAGAGTACAGCATGAAATATGTCTTGTTCTTGAAGTGAAAGGAAGAAAAGCAGGCAGATCCTGAAGGGTTCGGACACCACTAACCTAAGTAAAACATCACTGTCACTTAGCCTGTCTTCTCCACCCAGATCCCCGAGATGCACTGCGCCCCTCAGCATGCTGTCTGTGACTGGGAACGTCTCTCCCCTCCTCTTCGTGAAGTAGTTACCATTTTCTGACCAATTACTTTTTTCCTCTAGGCTACATTGTTAAATGTGGTATTGAGCAATATAACTGCTCCTGCAGCCCCTTACCCTCAACCCACACATACCTGAACTGCTTCTCAAGGGTGTTGGAAACAATAGTCTTACGCAGGGTTTTGCTAAAGTACTAAGAACACATCTGCTTGATCCCAGATTTCAGGAGGAAAGATGGATAACCTCAAGCTGGCAGAAATGCTAATGAAATAAAATACCAGCAGCTTTTGGCCCTTTCCCGAGCCCTGCTGAGTATGTGATAACATAGACACAAACTTTGCTTTTCGTTTTGCTAGTAAATTGGAATCTTTAATTAGAAGGAAAGTTGTTGTTAAAAATGTTAATATACCTCACATGAAGGTAGATTCAGCTTGAGAATATGATATAAAATTCTGTAGCAGATAAATCTTAACCTAATAAATCAAAAAGTCATCCTGCATAGGCTCACCTATCTTTTAGTCCCATTTCTAATGGAGGAGGGCTCAGACCTCCATTCTTGCTGCTGGTTTTCCTCAGTGAAGTGAAGACTCCCCTGCGGATGTGAATGTAAAACAGCTAGGCTGCTGCTGAGCTGTTTGTCAGTAGCTGGGCAGTTTTCTCGGTGCCTTTTCTGACATGTTTTAACATGATCTCTTAAGGATTTAGAAGGAGGATTGCCCTGTTTTTTGTGGTACAATGAAAAGATTGAGATTCTTTTATCAAAATGAGGCAATCGGGATAGAAAATCACTGTTTTCCTTCTGGTCTCTTTTCTAAAAATAAAATATGAGTTAAAGATTATAAAACAAATTTAAGTTTTGGGTCTTGGGAAACAATTACAAGGCACTTTGGATTTGTGATAAAAGAACTCACTTAATCGAAATGATTTCCAGACCATCATTTCCATGTTTGAAGCACATGTACACTGTGCATTTTCTGCCAGCCTCCCTTGGAAACGGTGACCCTCCAGGAAGGACTCATGGCCCCTGTGCGGAAAAGTGGTGCCTTCCCAAGAGGACTTACACGTGTCTCACTCAGCATTGGAATTCCTACCTTTTCTTCAGACCTCAGATTTCAGTAGAAGTACAATTAGACTTAATCAATGCTGCGTCCTATCAACCACGGCTTTTAAGACAATTTAAAAAAAAACTTTTTTATTTACCTTTCATTGCGGTAGCTGGCCGTCCATTCACCTGATACGGGCGTCTTCAAGTTGAAACAGGCTCCTCAACTCTAATTAAGAATAAACCTTGAAACTAAGGTTGGCAGGGATGTGGGTTTTCTGGTAAAGCATGAAAAATAAACATTTTCCTCCCCTGCCAGACGAGGTAGGTACTTCCCGACCCGTCTTGAGATCGTCCTTTGGGCACCTTGCAAAGTCTCCTGCTCAGGAACAACTGGAGCAACTTGCTCTCTTGCTGATGGCAGTGACTCACACCTAAGAGTAGGTGAGCCTTGTAGACAAGGGGAGAGCATTTCCTGAACCTGCAGGAGTCGGCGGTGAGTCACCTGCGGGAGCAGGGGCTGGACCTTAGTTCCAGAGGACTCTGCGGAGGAGAGCTGGGGTCTCAGCTGGGCCCTACTAACACAGGCCCAGTGTCTAGTTGTGTCTTCTTCTTTTATCTTTTTTTGGGAAGGGGGTCATCTTCCTAATTTGCTAATTAGAAAATATGCATTTACAGCCTTCTTGCTAGTTCAGTTTTGGCTCAAAGGAATCAATATATTTTATGAAAGACAAAACCTTTAAAGATTTTATTCTACATATTATTTACCGACTAAAATTACAATGTGTGTATATTTTTAAGTGATAACTTTGGAAACCTGTAGTGTCATACAACAATCTGATGAGCAGTCTATAGACCTATTTTTACAAATACACAAATATAAATATTCAAAATATTTTAAATAATGTTACTTAGCGGGGAGTTCTCTGAATCTTTTGAATTTCATTCTTTCGAAGGGATTGGAGGATCAGTCCTGTCTTTATTAAAGAGATTTAGAAGACTACACCTGGCAACTAAGGGGTGAAGTATTGGCCAGGAAGGTGGGGTGGGCTCAGGCGGGGGGGGATTCAAGGTGAGACTGGTGGCCCGGGAGGCACCAAGGAGACCAGGCCCCAGCAGCGGCCGAGGAGGTGCCTGGGGGTGAGCTTTCAGGCACTGGGGCGATCAGCCTGCTCTTCAGGGATCACAAGGTGCTCGGGTTGGCCTGGACTCTCCCTGAGGCCACCCTGCCTTGTCTGGCCCCGGTCCTGCTCCTTGCCTCACCGACCTCTCCATCGTCAGGGGACTCATGGTAGTCGTTCATCTCGTCCACGTCCTGTGTGTCCCCCTCATCCCGAGTCCCCCTCGTCCCCGTCGTCACAGTGCGCCGAGGCCGGCCTGCCGGTCGGTACCGGGTCATCTTTCTCCGCGACACTCTTGAGCAGGCCTGATGCCGCCGTTGTCGCCGCTGCAGCTCTGGCTCTTCCACACCGGGCTGCCCAGCTTCAGCCGCAGAGCCTTAGTCACACGGGGCAAGAGTGAGGACACAAGGTGGAAGTACTTGAATTTCATTCTTAAACACAGCTTGTTTTATTCTTTTAAAGAATCTTTGCACATGATAAATTTATATAACCAGATCCCTTTTTCTTATATAATTAATTTTAGAACTTTCAGATAAAAGTCTCTAAAAGAGTCTAAGATTTTCTTCAATGTAATATTCAAAGAAATAAGTAAAAAATAAAAATATAATTTTATGAATTGGAATCAAAACCTGTTACTATCATGGATGATAAATGAAAATGATAATCAAAGATGGAAGCTTTTTTGAAGGTAGTAAATCAGTAATAGCTTTATTGAGTGTTTGTTTATGCCTTAAGGGAGTACTGGTCTGTGTAGTTGGTTTTCTTTCCATGTTTATACAGAAAAACAAATGTGTTTAATTTAAATACCAATAGTTGAATATTAAAATTATGTTTCTTCTCTTGCCTTTCCCTAAACAAAAACAAACAACTACAATTTTAATTTATTGTGTGTGGATGAGTAGCTAGCCATAGGGAAAGTCTCCGAACAGAAATTAGCAGCTTTATAATGTCTCAGTCTCATCAGAGCTTGCCAGACTGACAAGCAGTCCTTTATTTCGCTTTGCCTCTGCTTTGTGTCATTGACAGCTTTCCCGTGGATTTTGCTTTCAGCATCTGTGATCCATAAATGGATGATGTACTGCTCTTAATGTGAACCCTAACTGGCAGAATAACCAGTGGCCATTAAAAGTGTTGATTCAGTAGGAGAAAGCATCCCTTAGAGCCTCTTTCATAGCATGTTAAAGATCTTCTCTGTAAGTTCTGAGGATTGTCACCCCAGATTTTCAGTGGTGTGTACAAAATCACATTAGGGAACTTATTTGGGCATATTTCACAGCTTCTGTTAAAGACATGCAGGCAATCTGCTATCCACCTTAAATTTTAATGCATTTATGTCTTGGGGTGACTTGTCTTATTGGGGTCAACTAACTATATACTTATTTTTTCTGTTAAAGAAAATCCCTGATTATCGAGCTGCCAAAAATGTTTGATATACTTTCCTATTGAATTTGAAGGGAAAATGTTTTGATAATTTAGGATTATATCCTGATTTTGAGTGCCTTTTAAAATAGTCCCTAAAAAAGGCCAATGCATGAAAAGACTATGATAGGTCTTTCTAAATTTGAAGAAGGACCTGGAGTTTGAAGAAGCACCTTGACTTTGTGTGTGTGGTTTTTTCACGAAGATCTCCTCATGGAGGAAGGAAGGGGCTGGTGTCCCATCACCAGTGCAGTAACGGCCCTTTTTTCCTCCCCTTGAGGGTAGGCTGGGAATGGAATAGGCTTTCCCCTCCTTAATGTGACAGTGGGATTGTCGTATTGAAAAGTTTCTTTGCTCGGTGATGCAAATTAAGCCTAGTAATGAAAAAGTTAACATGAGGTGTATGCATTCGTCTTAAAGTATATTCGAGTTGGGACTTGTTAAAGCTAGTCTTACTTAACGTTCAAAAGGGAAGTGTAGTACACGTTTAGTCACGAAAAAAGTGTAACGCTTTGATGAAAAGAGCAGCCAAGAACCAGCCCAAGGCTTTATTATTATTCAAAGCACTGAAAAGTTAACCCGGAGAATTTTTTTTCTGCTGATTTTTTGTTGCAAGCCTCACATCTCATAAAAGCCACAGGAGACTTTATAACAATAATTATCTTGTCGTTTCATTGGAATATCCTATTAAATGCAGGGAAGCTCTTTAATGACATTGTTTAGCCATTACAAACCCCACACTTATTTTGAATACAGGAATACATACTGGGATATGTGTTTGTGCTTCACTACCACCATCATGCTTAAAAAATATGTATTTTTTTATTTTTTACTACAGGGGATTTTTTTCTTTTGATATTTATTAAAGATGTTAAACCTTCACACAAGTTGAAATAATAGTTCAAGTAAATTTCATCTAGGTTTACAAATTAATAATGTTTCTCACGTATCTGTACGTTCTCTCCTACACACACACATTTTGGGGACACCTGTTTGAGGTTGCAGTCATTGTAATAAATGCCTCACTCCTAACTGTCTCAGCAGCATTTCCTAATAACATCCTTCTGTCTGAGCACAATACTGTTATCAGTCAAGAAATTAATGCTGAAACAATAATATTTTTAAATAGTCCATCTTCATTAAAATATTACAATTTCCCAGTAATACCCTTTATATTTTTGTTGTTGTGGAATCTAATCAATGGTCACATATTAAATTTGGTTCTGCTGTCTTTTTAGACTTATTTATTCTTCCAAACAATTCTCTGCTTTTTAAAAAAACCTTTTTCTTTAATCTCCTTGGCTTTTGAAAACTGCTTTGCTCTGTATCTGCTGGGTCCATCCAGTGGGATGTGTAGTGAGGGGATTCTTTTAAATGTTTCTGAGGGACTTTGGGTATATTAGCCTGAAGTCAACACTGGGGTTTAGAATTTTGAAGTCAAATAGGAATATCTATAATCTTGTTTTAGACATAGACCTGGTTCATGGGTCACTAATCACAAAGCCAGGTGATCCAAAAAATTCACTTTTCTTTCCTCTTTTTTTTTTTTAGATATTGGGTAACTCATTCACCTTTTCTTGGTTTCAGTGTTCTGTAAAACAAGGATTTTAGATGAGAATACATAACTTTAGCAATTTTTCAAAATGTATTCTTAAAGAGAAAGAAGTACTCAAGTAGAGAATGTGTTTCTGAGATCTTACAAAGAATGAAAAGTAGGTAATGTAATTGGTCAGTCTTTCTAAATCCTTGAATGCACCCTGTTCACACCTCCCCCTTTTAGTGGGAGACATTGGCAGATGTATTACTTGGTTTTCCTTGATCTTTGGATCATTTTCCCTTGTGCATGACTGCTTCCTCTTCCCTCCCTTCTTTTTTTTTCTTTTCTTTTTTTTTTTTTAAATATCTTTATTGATTTCAGAGAAAGGAAAGGAGAGGGAGAGAGAGACAGAAACATCAATGATGAGAGAGTCATTGGTTGAGCCCACAACCCGGGCATGTGCCCTGACTGGGAATCGAATCCCGATCGCCCGGATCCCAGGTCGATGCTCAACCGCTGAGCCACCCCTGGCTGGGCTTCCCTCCCTTTTTTATTGGACTTCTCTGTGTTGACATGGACCTGGGCACAGTGTCCCCTCCTTGGGTGTTGGTAGGCATAATGTTAGTACCGTTGTAATATTCTCAGGTGTATTCATTTCTTCCTAAAGGACAATGCACATATAAAGGGCCTCCTAGGCCTCTGTAGTGCACGAATCCATTATTACAAAACAGGCACACAGGGGTCTCATTGAAACACAGCGCATTACACTCTGTCTTGGGTGCCATGTCTTTTGCATGTAGCCAGAACATACAACAAGCATTGTAGTAACATCTTCACTAGATCTTACTGTCCATCTCTCTGTACAAGAAAGTTACTCTAATTGTGGTTCACATGCAGTGGCTGAGAATTTGTGCTGAGTATAATTATTACAAACCCTTTCATGTTCCCTAGCTGAGATTGGTATCTTTAGGTCCCTGTGCCTGAATTACTGTGTTTAATCTGTCATTTGAAATGATTTGTATCTATTAGGTCTTCTTTATATAAAGCACTTACCTTTTTCTGGTGTGAGAACTTCATGTGTAATGGTTGATTAAAGGGGAGGATGGTTTGAGATTGAGTCTAGAGATGTGCCTGCCTGGGCCTCTTGTTCTCATAGCCATACTCTCTCCTGTGCTGGGCTGCTTGATCCTGCTCACTTTGGAAATCTTGCTTGTGAGAGGCAGTGATAGTTGTCCAGTAACCTGGTCAGATAGACTCCAGTGTGCATCTCAGCCTCTCCACTTAGTAGCTTTTGTTACTTTGGGCAAGTCATTAATATATCTGAGCCTCAATTTCTTCTTCTGAAAAATAAGCATGGGAATGGCTGCCTTATAAAATTGTAAAACTTAAACAAGATAACGTACAGGGTAGTTAGTACTTAGTGAACAGTAGCTTTAATTTTGTGTTTTTGTTTGGTCAGAAGGCAGAGGGGGAGTAAGTAAGTGAAGGAATGGGGGTGCCTGTCTGAATGTAAATTTGGAATGATTAAAAATTGAAAACACATTTCAACTAAAAAGCTAAGGTAAATCCGTAATATTTTG